CGAGCATGGACTCGATCGGGCTGCTTGCTTGTCTGGTGGCCTCCGATCGTCGAACTCTTCGGCGTCTGAGCGTCCCGTCTTCCTCTCGGGCTGTCCCACCCCCTCTTTCCCCTCTTTGCTTGCCGGCCAAATCGCGAGTCAGTGCCCCTATCGAGCTTCTCGCTGAGGCGGAGGTCGCCGCCTCGCCGCTGATGAAACAAATCGTCTGGCGGTTTCCTATGCCTCGGGGTGCATTCCAGCCCATCAGATCATGGCGTCGAGTTTCCTTGCATCGGGCGATGAGGACGAGGAGGAGGAGGAGGAGGAGGAGGAGGAGGCAGCCCATCAGATGATGGCGTCGCATTTTTTCGCAACTGGCGACTTCGCTCTGCTTCTGGCCCCGGGCCCCTTACGCAACGACCCGGTTCGGAACAGGCCGCCGAGACATGGGGTCCAGGGTCCAAGGCTGTGGTCGATTCTGTTGATGTTCAACGCTTCAAATTTTTGCCGCGGCCTCAGACCTCAGCGGTCGTCCTGCCTCGAGATGCGTTCCAGCAGCTGCGCCTCGCTGCGAGCGTCCCCGGGGGGGGGGGGGGGGCTCGCGCGCTCCCGGACGGCGCCCCGACGCCGCAGGGAGGGGCGTCCAGCACAGATTTCAAGCAGAACTCCGCGCGGAGCGCCAAAAGTTTATGTCGGTGCCGCTCTTCTCCTTCTGGAGGGGCCCCGACCGCTTCCCGAGGGCAGATCTCGGCCCCGGGGCACCGCGGGGATGCCTGGAGGAAGAACCGCCGGAGCTGAAAAAATCACTCTGCTCGTGGGGCCCCGACCACTTCCCGAGGGCAGACCTGGGCCCCGGGGCACCGCGAGGATGCCTGGAGAAAGAACCGCTGGAGCTAAAAAGCGCCACTTCGCTCGAGGGGCCCCGACCACTTCCCGAGGGCAGATCTTGGCCCCGGGGCACCGCGAGGATGGGCCCTGGAGGAGAGGCCGCCGCAGCGGAAAACATCACACATCGTCGGACAGATCATGCGAACCCTACCCCACCACCCCACCGTCCTTTCAGGGAGGAAATGGTGTTCACTTTGCTCGGGAGGCCCCGACCACTTCCCGAGGGCAGATTTGGGCCAGGGGCATCGCGAGGCTGGGCCCTGGAGGAAGAGCCGCTGCAGTTGAACAACCGAACGCGATAATCAACCTAAGCATCAACTGTTGGCGGCCCGCGCGGACTTCTTGGGTCCGCGCTGGGCCCCGACGCCTCCAGCGCCGCCCCTGGCGCGCGCTCCGCGAGCCAGGGAGGGGGGGTCCAGCGCGGATCCAAGACACCCGCGCGGAGCGCCACAGGTGTATGTTTGTGGTGTTTTTTGCTGGGGCCGCGATTCTCCGAATCGGCCTTTTCGCCAGAATCGGCTTTTTCGCCAGCATCTGCGATTGTATGTTTGTGGTGTTTTCGCCAGCATCGGCCTTCTCAGAAGGCGGCGGGACCTCTCAGAAGCCCTCGCGCCTTCTGAGAAGTTGTTTCTTCTGCCTTCGAGGAAGTCTTCGAAAACTTCTCAGAAGGTCAGGGGACTTCCGAGCCTTCTGAGAAGGCCCGCTGCTTCTCACTTCCCCCCCCCCGCGCTCGCCGCCAATCCTTGTTTCCCCCCGATTTCGGATCCGCCTCATTCGATTTTCCGGATGAAAAATGTGTCAAACATGCATCCCAAACGCTGCAACAAAGTAGGGCGGAAATTCCGCGCCGAAGCAGCGACGGCCGAGCAGGGCGGAAATCGGCTTCAGGGGAGCTCGGAAAGTAGGGTGGACATTTCCGCCCTACGTGCGGAATCGCTTAAAGTACCCAGACCCTGGCGTCATGATATGTTCGTGTCGTCGACCCCGAGATTGGAGAGGTCTCGACCCATTCCCCGGGACTGTTTTTTATCCTGAGTCGCTTTTTGACCGTCCCGGCCCAGTCAGGGCCCCCAGAGGTTTTTCGTAGCGGCTTTTTCCTGACTCGAGGGGGTTTGGGTACGAAATCGCCCAAAATTAGGCGGATCCGAGCTCCAGGCCGAGAGTCGGGACGATCGACATGGGTACGGAAAGGATGGGCGCACAGACCGACAGCAGTTTCTGCTCATTTTGCACAGGGCTCGCTGTTGGTGTCGCCCGCGGACGGTGCCCATTTGAGGCAACAGGCCGCCTGCCCGACAGTGGCCGCTGTTGGTTTTGGGCAACATGTTTACCAGTTTGAAACACATCCCTATCCCTGTGTTGGGCATCACCTCACCTCCGTGTCGATCTTAACGATCCCCTCACTTTCTGGGGGCACACCCCTAAGATTTTGTCCTCGCTTTCTGCTCGCCCATCTGAGGGATAGGGATAATTTCGAGGCTGGTTAACACGTGTTGTCAGAGCCCCGAATCATCAGGGGTAACTCGGGTCAGGGCTAACTCGGGTTCCTTTTTCGGAAATCCAAACCCGAGTTACCCCGGACCCGAGTTACCCCGGATAACTCGGGCGCCCAATGTTGTTGGGCTTTAAATGCGCAGTGCTTCCGGCGTCCAAGCCAGGCGGAACTCGGGCGCGCCCCGCCGGCGTCGCCGGCGACGGGGCGCTACGTGGCGGGCATCAGGTCGGGCGGGCCCAGGGCGAGGACAAATCTGATGGGCCAATTCTCCACCGCCACCACCACCATGG